CGGCGATCACTGTCGGCCGACTGTCTGCCATTCCTCTGTCTTACCGATTTAAATCAGTACGCTTGCTCATCGTTAGTCAGGTCAGTATCTTTGGTTTGCTGTGGAAATTTTGTGGAAATTATTCCAAAAAAAGTAGTTGCTGCTGACTCTTAAGTGTACAAGGTAACCAGAGAGTATGCAAACATGTTTTTGCAAAAATACAGTAAAAACAATAATATTGTGATCTTTTATTGCAGCTTTAAAGAACGATTTTCTATTTGAATGGATTTTAAAATGTAATTTATTTCTGTGATGCAAAGCTGTATTTTCAGCATCGTTACTCCAGTCTTCAGTGTCACATGATCCTTCAGAAATCATTCTAATATGCTGATTTGCCACTCAGCTATTATCAATTATTATTGGTGCCGAGTTATTAATAATGCTTATTATCATCAAACAGTTGTTTCTGCTCAATGCTTTTTTTTGTGGAAACCATGATACCCTTTTAAGGATTTTCAGAATTCTACATTCCTTTACTGTCTTTTATGATCATTTTAATGGGTCTTGGCTGAATAGAAGTATTAATATATATATTTTTTTCAATCACACTCCAAAGTATATCATGATTTCTACCAAAAATATTAAGCAGAAGAAAACCGTCTTCAACATGCTTCTGAAAATTGAACTTTGCCATCATTGGGAGAATTTACATTTTAAAATATTATTCCAAATTTTTAACTGGTAGATTATAATATAACTATCTAGGTATTAGTAACTAAATAATTCACAGTTATGGAGGAATAAAACCTGCTAGTTATATTTTATAGTTAGTGTGTATATATATATATATATATATATATATTTTTTTTTTTTTTTTTTTTAATTTGTTTTATTTTAAAAAGTAATTGATTCCTGTCATGCAAAGCTGAATTTTCAGCATCATTACTCCAGTCTACAGTGTCACATGATCCTTCAGAAATCATTCGGATATGCAGATTTGCTCCTCAAGAAACATTTCATATTATTTTCACAGTTAAAGGGGTCATATGATGCTTTTTTAAAGATCATTATTTTGTGTATTTGGTGTAACAGAATATGTTGACATGCTTTATTGTTCAAAAAACACATTATTTTTCAAATACTGTACATTATTGTAGGTCCTCTATGCCCCGCCTCTCTCAAACGCTTTGTTTTCTACAAAGTCCCTCCTTCCGACAAGCGCAGTCTGCTCTGATTGGCCAGCTGACCCAGTGCATTGTGACTGGCCGAACACCGC